CATACGGACAGACGGACAGACGGACAGACGGACGGACGGACAGACGGACAGGGCCAAATCAACTCAGCTCGTCACCCTGATCAAGAATATATATACTTTGWGGRGTCTGYCRYGMCTCCTTCTCCCTGTTACATACATTTCAACAAAACCATTATACCCTGATTTCCCATTGAAAATGGGTTCAGGGTATAAAAAAGAAAACCATTTCATTTGTTGATTATATTTCAATAGGATGCCGGTATTCGAAGTTTCAGGAAGCTGGTAAAACGGTTCAACCATTTTTAGAGGACTTACTTTTCTTATCATTTCCTTTTTTTCCATCACAAGTTGACACGATTTAGTTCCTTGGCTCAATCAGAGAAATTGAATAGAAAAGAACTGTAGAAGGCGTTTCGTTCACATTGTTTTATTGTTAGCATTAATTCATATATGCATTTTAAATTGTATCATTATTTTTATTTCATACATATGTCGTAGTACTGTTCCAAACAATTAGATTGTATGCAATTAAATCTCATTCCTTAACAATTTGCTGAATGCTTCAATCTACATTCTCTTCTTCTTCTTAGGTAGCCAGCTTTCCATGGTTATTGCACTCATAAATTGCAAACTATGTTATCTATGTTTATATAATAAATTTGGGACTTTTGCAGAGATAGATAGATAGATGCATTTTCGTTTCTATATGCCTCGTTCGGATGTGTGCGTGGTGTAAATCATGTCTTTTGGGTTCTAGTAATTTGAATTTAATTCTCGGTTTGCTTTTAACTTTAATATTAACTTCATATATCTTATGTGGTATATTCATATACATATAGGGTATGCATCTCGAGCTGTGCCATTGAGACTGTTGCGTTGTTGCTTTGATTTCAGCGTTTGGGATACCACCTCGAAAGGTTTATCCACTTGGTTTTTGTCTTGTTTAAGTTAACTACAAATTGATAAAAAGGATTATTTCTTCTGTTCGTTTCTCTTCTCACATTGTGTGTCATCTATATATGTATTGGAGTGTTTGTGTTCAGCTTAAACTATTGTATTTCTGGTATTTCCCATATTAAATATGCTAAATATTTGTATATGTATGTGATTTTAAAGTTTTTGGTGTTTTTTTGCATTGGAACAGACTCCTAACTTGGGGCCCAAGTCGGCGCAGTCGATGATGATATAAGCCCAGCCAAACGAAATTAAAGGCTCAATCTCAACCTTGAGCTACCTCTATTGTTTGACGGGTTATGTCCTATTTAACGGCACAACCTTGTTTTGTTTTGTTAAGCATATTCCCAATGTTCGGCTCTGTCCTCAACAGGATCTATCCCCTGTCTATGGTGACCTATAGTTCCACGCAAAACTTTCTCAAGACACAATTAATCTTCTCTAAGGTTCGCCTCTCTTTCGGGGACCACTTTATTCGTCCGTCCGTGTGTCTGCTGGCAAGTACCCAAATATTCGCATGGATATCTTAAGGCTTTCCCCTCCACTACTCGCTGGACCATCGACTGCTCGCTCTTGGGGAAGGCGCATGCCTGATTTCAATTGCTTTCACTACTGTTTCGATAAATCGTATCTTTAGTTCTTAGGTATTTTTCTTTTCCTTGAGTTTTTGTTTTGTTTTTACAAAGTTTTAATCAACAGTTACAAAAGTTTGTTCTTAGTAGTTGAACTATGGTGGGTTACGTTCTTAATGGATACATACTTGTGTTACTTTTCTTGGTTTTGGTTTGTTTTTTGCTTTTTGCTTTTAGTTTTTGGTTTTGTTTTTCAATTTTATACTACGTATAAACATGCACGGTTGACGCGCAGTTGATGCTTGGTATCTTTATTTACTTTGCTTCTTTTTTGCTCGCTTCTCGCTAGCCTGGTACTTATACTTTACTTGGATTACAAAAGATGATTCAAAATATCAAAACTTATCAAAAACACAACGAGCAGTACAATCACATATCGCACCATCGTCAACGACAACAAGGTTAACTAAAATCCTGAACTCCGTATCATCCGAGAGATATATCCCATCTGGAAAAAGTGCCCACTGCAATTCGTTGCGCGCGGTAATTTGAACTGTATTAAAGCTTTTGTGTTTTTTTTTTCGCGTAGGCCAACAACTTAAGGTGTACCATAGATATATTGGTTTATGTTAATTAGAATACATATATATACATGCATATGTATATGTGTTAGTTTTATAATATATTCCAAATCGTAATCGGTTATATTTGTATTAAATTCTTGTTGCATGGAGCACGTGCCTACCTAAAACTGAACGCCCAACAAAAAGCGTCCCAATATGATGTGGTTGCTACAGTAATAGCCTCGAGGGCTGCTCAATAAGTTTCCATTAATGCTTGAGTATGAGTCGAATCTTGATTTCTTCAGATTATTTATGAATGTTTTGGTACTGAATAATATTTTCGAGCATTTTTGAAATGGAAGACGACTTTCTGTAAATTGTCAATTTATGGTATATACGACATACAAAGACCCTTGAATGAAACATCTATTTGGAGCTAATTTCGGTCAAATCACACGCATATTAAGATTACTGAAAGTGTTACACTCTTCATCGAAATTGAACGTAAGGTGGATAACAGTATCACTATATTTAAGCAATATCTGAAAAAACTAATAGAAATATATTATCAACATTTATCAATCATATGGTCCTAATTGGATTTATTGTGAACGATGGAAAACTTATTGAGCAGACAAATCGTAATGACACATACATATATATTTAAGCATCATCATATATATATTCAAATATTTGTTTGTAATACTATCATCAATATATTTATATATTGTTGGCTAGACATCAAAAATCAGTACTGCTTGTCAGAGTGTTACCTAAGCCTAGTTTTGGTTTTTGCTATTGCTAACATTTCCCATTTATTGGATTTTGGTTTTGTTTTGGCTTCTTTTTTTTTTTAATATAATTTTTGGCCTAACACATTTATTGTAACTTGTATGAACAGAATTCTTATAAGTGACCAACTTTAGGCGTTGCGCCGCCCTAGTTGTACACGCCTCTGACCATGCCCTCGCGATTACGCGACTGCCATTTGCAGGTGAGGATGCGAATGTAGGTGCGCCGGAAGGAGGCGTTGCAGAGCGCGTAGCACATGGGATTGATGGTTGAGTTGATGTAGCACAGGGCGTAGAAGAAGTCCCACAGCTCGGTGGGAATGCAGTCCGAGCAGGTGGTCAGCGGCTTGATCAGGACTAGAATGTTGTACGGCGTCCACGTTATGATGAAGCTGAGCAGGATGGCCGACAGTGTTTTGGCCGCCTTCGACTCCTGCCGCTTCTCCTGCGACTTTTTCTTCTTCTTGGCCGCGTTGCGCGCGTTCAGCAGCGCATTCTGCCCCGCCGTCTTGCCCAGCTGCTTTGGTATGACCTTCGCGTTCAGCAGCCGCATGTCCTGGGGGGCGTGCGACATCCGCCTGCCCAACGGTAGGCTGAACTCCGAGTCACGCGACGGCAAGGGGCGGCGCGTGGGCGGTGGGGCTGTCGTGACCACGCCTATGCTGCCCGCCCCCACCGTCGAGACATCCTCGTGTATCATCTTGATGGAGGGCCCGCAATCGCCATGGACGCCCTGGCTGCCCAGGGCGTTGTTGACGCCGCCCGCTCCGCTGCTGCCGGTCGCCGAGCTGGCGCCATCTGGCGGCAGCCGGATGAGTATTGTGTAGACCGAGTCCTGGCTAACCGAGCGCGACCCGATGCGATTGCTCACGGGCAGCGCTCGTGAGTCACGCAGCGCATTGGCGCTCGGGTTGCTATTGGCGCTGCCACCGTTCATATTATTGTTGTTGCTGAGCGCAGCACCGCCACACCCGCCGCCGCCCCCAGCTCCATTGCCGGCATTGATGCTGATGTTGATGTTGACATTGCCGTTGTTGCCATTGCCGGTCGCGTTCATTTCCTGCATCTGCATCTGCGAAATGGAATTGAGTGGCGGGCGCAGCGGCGTCGGCGACACATCCGCCAGCATTATGCTCGGCGGCCGCACCCCGCTCACGCTGCCGCCCATCGAGTAGTTGTCCCGCATGACGTTCATCGAGGTGCATCTGCGAACGACAAAAAGGACACAAAGGCATGTCGCTCTTCAGTAAGTTTCCACATGCCACATGCCACATGCCACATGCCACATGCCACACGCCAGCAGGCATCGGCATCGAGTGCTCGACATTGACAAGCCGTACGGCTGACAAGCTACGACAAGAACTACAACAGGAACGACAACCACAAAGACATCAATAACCAAAACGGAGCAGCGGATGCGAGCTGCTCCTCCCAACGGGCAACCCACACCCATACCCACATCCATACACATGCGTAACCACTCGCACACCTCATCGCACAGGTGATTAGCTGAAAACTCCTAGCGAAAGGGACTCTGAGGCTGAAAGCGATTCTCTTTCATCGACTGTCGATCAAAATTAACTAAATTATTATCTGAAAAGTCAAAAGGAAAATTTGAACTGAAACAGAACTTCATTTCGAAAATAAATATTCAATAACTAAAAACAGTTTAACAAAAATCTATTGTATGCTATTTTTGGTAATATATGCAACAATAATTATAATATATGACAATATCTTTTATATTTTTCAAGATATACTATATATACACGTATCAAATGGTATTTGGTAAAAGCAGATGTTCTTAAAGAAGAATTCTGCCATTATTTCCCTATGTTTAGTGGCCCTAAGTATGGAATCACTAAACTAGCAATTGTGACTAATTATACGAAGTAAATCTAAGCATATGTAGATACATGTTGGGATCTTAATTACCTCATATTCTATAGAAAAAGTACATTCACTTTTCATCCTACGCAACCATTAATTTAAGTATTGAGCTCTAGAGCTAAATCTGGTCAGTGACAGTAGGCAGACCAAGACTAATCAACTGTAATCAACACTAGGATTATTCCATGATAAGGGACGATTCTCATATCCTATAATTATCGTAATCCCCTGCCGTTTATATCAACTCAATTGCTATTTAAACAATAATCGTGTATCCTCGGTCATCCATCCAAACCGTCTTCAGGCTGTTTGCAGGCTACACATTTGGCTGAGCTGACTCTGCATATATATATATATGTATATATAGCACCGAATCTCCCCTTCCTGCTCAACAATACTCGACTAGCTCGACTATGCTTAAGCTAGCTTATAATAGTTTCGATTAAAATAATATAGAACATATAGATTTGAGTCTTGTGACTTGTGAAAACCAAGCATGATTGAAGTGGATCCAAATAACAAGAGCTCGCCCAAAAATTTCACACTTGTAAAATAGGTAGAATAACAAATGAGTATAAAAAACGAGAAGTGTAAGTAAAAACTTCCCATACATGAAATTTATGAAAGAGAAATGCATCCAATTATCTGGCGAAGCTCGCCCACGGCTGAATATTGAGCTGTGCCACTAGACTGTCATGCAAATACTTTTGGGGCACACTGTGTGCGCTCTATTAATGGTTGTGCATGTGCGAGGTGAAACCGTTGTGTGCTGGCAGTGAAATGATTTCCTTTCCTCTCCCTTCTCTGCTTGGAGCACAGGCATCGAGGAGCCAATGGACTTTTCTTTTGGAATGAAGTGCTCTAAGTGCATTTGAGATGCGAGACATACACATGCAGCACTCACACACAGAAACGATTAGAGTGCATGAGTGAGAGTGTGTGGGTGCTTGGGTGCTTGGGTGCTGGGTGCTTGAGTGCGGTGTTTGCTTACTCGAAATAAGACGAATATCAAAAAAGAGCTGCTTTTTTTACTACCTGGAGACGGAGCTTTGTAAAGGAGTTTCAATTGTTACTGGTGTTGCATACCCTAAATCAGATGGCTCCTCCTGCTCGTAGGCAAAATCGTCGGAGTCTTCGCGGCCCGAGTGCCACCACGCGATGCACCACTCCTTGATGCTGCCAAAGCAAGAATATGGCTTTTTGATTGTATTGGTGCTCTTGATCTGCGCATAGAAATACATGTCAGCCACACACAAGTCAAATAGAACGGAGAAACGAATATGACGAGCTGCCGGCAGTCGCCTGCCGCTCACACCCAACTTACGCTCGACTTGCGCGAGTGCATGCCGTGATATCCCGAGTCGATGACCATGTTTGTCATGTAGACGCTTTCTGCATCCGCCGAGCTCTCGGAGCGCGGCCGTCGCCACGTATCATGATCATTGCCGCCCAGCTGGCCGAACCCCAGGAGGCCCCCCGATGTGTGATTCACCACGGTATTTTCGTCGCTGAAATGAAGAACGAGAGCAACAGGCGAAAGACCGCAGTAGTTAATTGTGAATCAAGTAGGAGTGCTCTAGTCGGGAATGCCCGACCAGGGAATACCCTTAACCCGGCAAAGCACTGACATACAATTATTATACGCACCCCCTCTACAGACAGAACGGAACAGACAGAGGGACGAACATGTCTGTAGCGGAAAATAAATATATATACATATATATGTATATATACATGTCTTTCTACCTATTACACACTTTTAGACCTGTGCTCCCATTCAATGTGTTACTAAGTATGAGAGCTTTACGAAAAAATTCCTTTAAAACTCTAATCATGTAATTCTCAAATGATTACAGCAGAGCAGGACTACAGACTCGATAGATAAATGAGTTGACCCACTGAAACAGATCTAAAACAAAACCATTATACCCTGATTTCCTATTGAAAATGAGTTCGGGGTATAAAAAGAAATTGAAAAAATAATAATAATTTTTGATTTTCAGAATTTGGAAATGGTGTTTCATATTATAATATATGTATTTATGCTATATTACTTATTATGTATTACTATATATCATGTTGTTAAATAACTCTTTTCAATTTAGTCTAATGTACATATATATAACATTTGAGGTGCTTTCCCAAGCTTTTAATATTGCTTTAGTTATGTCTGTACTTTAGCCTATCCCATGCATTATTCTATATATGATATACCACAATTCTCGGCATTTACTATAATTTGATAGCTTTACTTTGAAGATTTTGCTTTAGAAGAGCCAGCTTATGCTAGCTAGGCACTATTATTACTTCTCAAGCCATTGAAACAGTCTGCACATATAATTGGGCACATATAATATGATATTACATGTTGATATATAGCAGATATATATCGATACGAGAATATATTAAAGTCCGTAAGTCAGTAAATCAAACTCACCTGCTATTGGATCGCTTACTAGAGTCCTTTTTGCCGGCCTGCAAATTGGGCAGATCCTTCTGGCGCTTCTTCGTCTCCCGCCAGATGCGGAAGTAGAGGAAACACATGATCGTAACGGGAAAGTAGAACGCAGCCAGCGCAGTGCCGAAGGTGATGTACTGGTTCGTCTCAATGAACTGGATGTAGCACTCGTCCTTGGGCACCGTGCGCTTGCCCTCGATGTAGGGCCAGCTGTAGATCCAGGGCGGCCACAGCAGCAAGCTGATGCCCCAGGCAGCGCCGATCATGACGGCCGCCTTGTTGGTCGTGCGCTTAGCGCGATATGTCAACGGCCGAGTGACACTGAAGTACCGGTCGAAGCTGATGATGAGCAGGTTCAGCACGGAGGCGTTCGAGGCGAGGTAGTCGAGGGCCAGCCAGGTATCGCACACGTGCGGCCCCAGCGGCCAGTAGCCCAGTATCGTGGTGACCGCAAAGAGCGGCATAGAGATGGCGCCGATCGCGAAGTCCGCGATGGCCAGCGAGAAGAGGAAGTAGTTGCTGATCGTCTGCAGCTGCTTGTCGATCTTGAACGAGATCATCACCATGAGGTTGCCCGCAACTGTCACCGCGCTCAGAATCGCCGCTACGAAGCCCATAACAAGCATCGAGGCCACTGAGTACCTCGGCCCCTTCGTCTCAAAGCCCAGGCTGGAGTTCGTGTGGTTCCCATATGGATCGTAGAGGCCACTCGCCGCCGTTGAGGTCAGGTTCTCAAGCAGAGCCGTCAGCAGGGTGCTGCTGGTGGTTATGGTGGGGCTGATGGTGGGGCTGCTGCTGCTGCTCGTCGTGGCAGCCGTCGTGCTTGTTGTTGTGCTTGTGCTCGTAGTTACGGTTTTAAACAACGGCTCCAGTATACTGGGCGGCCCATGGGCGGCCAGTGCCAAGCTCATGACTGGCTCCATGGCGTATGCGAGATATTCGATTTGCTTTGATTGGAATTTGCTCACCCGCCTGAGAATGCACTATAGATTGTCCACAAGATGTGCCTGGCCTCGCTTTTGGTTACTTGAGTTGTGATTTCTAAATGGTCAGGCGGTCGTCTTGCTGCTGCTGCTGCTGCTTCTGCTGCTGCTTCTGCTGCTGATGCTGCTTATCCTTGTTGCACCCACGCGCTAGCGCTGTCGTCGGACTTCTGAGCATTTTCGTACAGGCCCTGCAGTGCCAGCGCACAGACAATCAAACAAACAAACGAAAATAAAATAAGAAACCAGAGAGTTATGAGCTGTCGCAGGCCTTTGATAGAAGCAGAAGCCCCAACACTAGCCGCCCACTGGCTCAAAGAAAACACACGCACTCACACTGATGGAAGCAGTGGGAGTGGCAGTGGAAGGGGGCAAAGACGCCTGCGGTCGCATTGCTTTGTGCTTTTTGCAAATGACATTTTCAGTGTGATTTGTTTTAATGAAAATGTAAATGAAAAACTGCTTGAATGCGTTTCCTTGGCAGTCGCACAGTAACAGATAAACATGCCACGCCCACGCTTAGCTTTATTTGCTTCTGTTTCTGTTGCTGCCTCGGCCTCAGCCTCAGCCTCGACCTCTGCCTCTGCCTCTGCCTCTGCCACAGCCTCTGCTTCTGCTTCTGTTGTTGTTGCTGGTGTTGTGCCAGCAATGGGAGAACATGCAACAGTCAGCGTAGGCAAAAACTTGGCTATCGAATCGAACACAGGCGCAGCTCCTCGGCCCGCATCCCCCTCTGCAGGCACCTCTTCCCTCTCTTTTTCGAGCAGGCACTCTGGCACGGAAATGTTCAAAGCGGCCTCCTCTGACACTTTGCGAAACTATTGATGTTGTCATTGGCTACAGACACAACGACACACACACACACCCACACACACACACCTAGTCATAGGTACACATTGTCTTTTTATTTGGAAAGTTTTTCAATAAGTAACGTATACGCCGCGTGGTGCGAGGCTATTCTCAACGCTTGCCTCGCTCACCGATGCCTCTCACATGATATGCAGCCTGATTGATTCGTATTGAGTCCATTGGAAGTTGTGGACCATTATTCTCTGCAGCGTTGACAGCACTCAGCATTCACTATTGTTGGGCCGTCTCATATTTTCCACGTCCTTACTCCGCAAATCACAAATCACGCCCGAAATATGTCAGAAGGCTTTCCAGGATACAAATATAAAAAATGATAAGGCATAAATGAAATAACACAATTTTATAATTGAATTATGGGACTTTAAGCCGAGCCCAAAATAGACTCGCGTGCGAGTTTCTGCTATTGTTATTATTGAATTAACTGATAATGAAAAGCTTTTAGTTAGCCAATGAAAATGCGAGTGCTTGCAAGTGCATTTCGTCAAACAAAACAAACTCTAATTGCTTTCACGCTTTACTGAAACCCGTCTGAATAGAACTCAGCTGAAAGCCTTAATCCGTTTGCACTTTCTATAAAATTATCCTTCAATCAGAGGCATAAATATGAATAGAGCAGACCAATCGAAGTGGCTTCCATTAGGCCAGCATTTAATTAGGCTTTAGCTAAACGTTATTCAACAATGCTCGAAAGGCATTCATGCCCGAATTCTATAACATATTAATAGAATAGAATAGGCATATGCTATTGTTATCATATCCCCTACGCTAAGGGTAAACGCCCAAGTAAATATGACTATGTTATCTTGCTTCTGGCTTTAATTAAGGTACAATTTTGCTGCACGCCCGAGAATTTCAGATAAAGTATGAGCAATATGAATTAAATTGAATTAAACTCTCCGATTTATATATATTAATTTTATAAAATCAAATAATGTAGAAACTAAGAAACGAATATATTTGTAGCATACTTTTGTGGAACGGCAAGAACTACAGTTTGCCGTGGTCTGTCGAGGTACTAATCTTGATGTTACCTGCCAGACCTCTAAGAAGACTCAAACGGCAAGGCTTTGCCAAAACTATTGGACAATAGTAAAACCTCCACAACTTAAAATCCCCATAACTCGGTATGGGGTTCGGCTCTATTATTAATTTACCTTCCCTGTGTTGTTATGGTTCTATTTTTGATGTACCGGTTCTACACTTAATAAATATATATATA